GCTCTGTTTTCGGTTTAACACAATGTGAGAAATATATTCAGGTGTACCGAAGCTAAACCGATCTGAATTAGAAACAGCTTGTGAAGATTTCAGTAATATCATTGAAGCATTTGATGGTTACACTGTCTATAAAGGAACTTTATCAAGTGGTGTTGAGATTGCGGTTGCTTCAACCGCGATTTTGGAAACTAAAGAATGGACAAGAGCTATGGAAATGACTTACCGCAGAAAGGTAACTCTAAAAATAATTTCTTTCGCCTTTTTCTTCGAGAATGTCACTTGATTTTTTGAGACCTCAAATTTGCAGATTGACACAATGTCAAGAATTAACCATAAGAACTTTGTGAATCTAATCGGGTACTGCGAAGAAGATGAACCGTTTAATAGGATGATGGTTTTCGAATATGCTCCAAATGGAACTCTTTTCGAACATTTGCACGGTAATAAAACATATAAAATCTGTCTCCATATCAAGATCTTGTTTGCTTATTATGATAATCACCAACCAAATCTTCATCTACTTGTTCTTCAGATAAAGAAATGGAGCATCTTGATTGGAGCGCGAGGATGAGGATAATAATGGGAACTGCTTACTGTCTGCAACATATGCACGAGCTTAATCCACCAATCGCACACTCTAAACTTGCCTCATCAGGAATCTACTTGACCGATGATTACGCAGCAAAGGTTCTTGCTTTCTTGCTTAACAAGAAAAGTCTTTTTCAATGGTTCTTGCTTTCTTGCTTCACAAGAAAAATGTTTCTTGATTATGATTCTTAATTTAACACAATAAAGGATTTGTATTTTGCAGGTTGGAGACATACCTTTCAGCTCACAAACCGGACTTAAACAGAAAAAACCGATGAGTGGTGATTTAGACCAATCTTCATTACAATTTTCACCTGAGCCAGAGACTAATGTCTATAGCTTTGGAGTATTAATGCTTGAGATCATCTCTGGAAAGCTCTCAGATTCAGATGAAGAAGGATCAATTATAAAATGGGTAAAACTCAAAAACCTAAAACCAAATCAATTTTTCTAAAACTTTACACACAACCAATATATAACACTTGTATGTTTTCTTAACAGGCATCAAAGTATCTGGATAATGATAATTTGGGAGATATGATTGATCCAACATTAAAAACTTTCAAAGATGAGGATCTTGAAGTGATCTGTGACGTGGCAAGACATTGTCTGAGAATTGATCAAAGTCAACGACCAACAATGAAAGATGTGGTTGAACAATTGAAACAAGTAATAAACATTTCTCAAGAACAAGCTACACCAAGACTCTCTCCTCTTTGGTGGGCAGAGCTTGAGATCTTATCCTCTGAAGCTACATAACCTAACAAGGAACGATT